AAACCACTCCAGAATGAAGCATTTTCCTGTATTTCACTCCCTTTCAGCCCAGACACAGAGCTGTGTCTATCAGTGCACTTAATGTTACTTTAAAAATACTGCAATTTGGAGCAGATCTCAACTGCCATGCTTATTAGTTTATAATATAGCCCTTGTAAATTTTATCAGCATCAGCTAACGCAAGGTAAGATAATAATGGCATGTTTTGAGCATCTACTATGTAGTGCATTGGGCTGAGCACTTTGTGTTTGTTGCCTCATTTGATCCTCTAAGCAACCTTACAAGATCAGACTGTTATTATCTGCATCTTCGAGATGAGAACCTTGAAGTTCAGAGAGTTGGAGTATCTTGCCCAGGGTCACACAGCTAGAAAGTGCAGGAAGTGGGATTCAAAGCCAGGTCTGATTCCCAGCCATGCTCTCTTAACTATAATACTTCAGGGGAAGTTAGAGCTTTGAGAGCTGATGGAAGGGAGCATCTCCTTCAGAGGAGGAACTTGGGCCCAGAGAGGGAGGATGGCGTGCCAGGACCACACCTCCTGTGAGTGGCAGAGCTGACTCTAGAACCCAGTCTCCTGGCCTCTAAGGTTGGCACCTCTGCTTTCTTTCTGCGGCTGACCAAGTCAAATCTAGACCCTTCGCCAGGCCCTGCAGGCTCTTTGCTGTCACCTGCTGTGCACGCTGCTTGCCCTGTGCACACTGGTGACCAGCCCTCCCCAGACACTCCGTGTCGCCACGTCTTTGCTGCCCAGGGGCACTCCAACCTTCTCTGTCCATGCAGACCCACAGCCCCGTTAACTGTACGCCTAGAACAAGTGAATTGTGTTGGTATATTATATCGTGATAAAATATACATAACAACATGAGTATTAAGATATGTGAATTATATTGATGTCTCCATAGAGTTGGCGAAAGAAAGGAACGAAAGAAAGAGAGAGAGAGAAAGAAAGAAAGAGAAAGAGAGAGAGAGAAAGAAAGAAAGAGAAAGAGAGAGAGAAAGAGAGAGAAAGAAAGAGAAAGAGAGAAAGAAAGAAAGAGAGAGAGAAAGAGAAAGAAAGAAAGAGAGAGAGAAAGAAAGAGAAAGAGAGAGAAAGAGAAAGAAAGAAAAAGAGAGAGAGAAAGAGAGAGAGAAAGAGAAAGAAAGAGGAAGGAAGGAGGGAGGGAGGAAGGAAGGAAGGAAGAAGGAAATGCCTTTCCAAGTTCTTCCTTCCACGCCACCTCTTCCAGGCAGGTCTCCTTAGCGCACTGCTGGGTGGCGGGGGATAGAGACATGGCCGGTTCAGCCTCGTTAAGGGGTCGTCAACTGGATGTGGGGGTGTAAAAAGGCCAGAGTGCAGTGTCACCCCCATACTGCCAGCCCCCCTGGGAACTGGAGGGCCGTTCAGATCCATGCTGGCACTGGAGATCCTGGGCGCGCCCGCAGCAGGCCCTGCCTCTCTCTTGCTGGGACAGAAGGGGACTCAGCCATTCACGCTCCAGCTTCTGCCCTTCTTGCCCACACCAGCCAACTCTCCCGTGTTCTCCACAATGTCTGTGGAGTGCCTACTGTGTCCCAGGTGCTCCTCTGGGCACTTGGGATGCCCTGCAGAACACAGTGGACAAACATTGCTGCCTGGTGGGGCCTACATTCCACCTCTGGCTCCTGCAGGCCCACAACACCTGCTGTCCCCTGGCTTCTGCTGGTCCCTGACATCTGCCATCCCCTGGCTACTGTAGGACCATGGCATCTGCTGTCCCCTGTCCCCTACAGGACCATGGAATCTCCTATTCCAGCTACTCCTGACCCATGGCTTCTACTGGCCTATGACATCTGCCATCCCCTGGCTACTGTAGGACCATGGCATCTGCTGTCCCCTGGCCTCTGTGGGCCCATGACATCTGCTGTCCCCTGTCCCCTACAGGACCATGGAATGGCTACTGCTGGCCCCTGACATCTGCTGTCCCTTGGCCTCTGCAGGCCCATGACATCTGCTGTCCCTTGGCCTCTGCGGGCCCATGACATCTGCTGTCCCCTGTCCCCTACAGGACCATGGAATGGCTACTGCTGGCCCCTGACATCTGCTGTCCCTTGGCCTCTGCAGGCCCCTGACATCTGCTGTCCCTTGGCCTCTGCAGGCCCATGACATCTGCTGTCCCTTGGCCTCTGTGGGCCCATGACATCTGTCTCCTGGCTACTGCTGTCCCCTGACATTTGCTGTCCCCTGTCCCCTGTAGAACCATGGCATCTGCTATCCCCAGCTACTCCTGGTCCATGGTTTCTGCTGGCCCCTCACATCTGCTGTCCCCTACCCTCTGCAGGCCCGTGACATCTGCAGTTCACGATTTCTGTGGCGGCCTGGCTTCTGATTTCTGCCCCTGACCCCGTCAGTTGCTGCCTCTCTGTATGTTTCCCGTGTGGCCTTTTAACAGGGAATCTGTTTAGCCCAGCCAGTATCCACTGGGTCAGAAATTCCCCAGCCCACCGCCGAGAGCCTGTGAATGGCGTCTTTGGTCCAGTGCCCACGGCTGGTCCAGTCACCAGTAACCAGGGTAATGATGTCACATCAACTTTCCTCAGACAGGCTTGGGGCCTGGTAGGCCTCATTCAATCTATAAATACTTATCAGCAGATACTATCTTATCTGCCCTGTAGGTGGCAGGGACTATAGGTTCTGGGAGCTGAGCTGCAGGCATGAACAAGATGGAAGAGCCCAGCTTCCTGGGGCTTACATGCTAGTGGAGGGACACGCAAGACACAGATCACGGAATGAACGTGCTGTGTAGTGTTGAAGACAAGGGCCGCAGGGCGGGAGAAAGGGAGGGCCCTTCTACACAGGGCGGGAGGGTGACATTCTTGAGTCAACTGAGGCAGGAACTGAGGCATGCTCATATCTGAGGGAAAAGCACTCTGGGCAGAGGGAAGGGCAAGGCTTGGAATGTTCCAGAAAGGGGGGGAGACCTGAGTGGCTGAGCAGAGTGAGTGAGGGTGAGTGTAGGAGATGGGGTCAGGGAGGTCCCCGTGCGGACATGGGGGCGGTGGCCGCTTCCATGAGGGTCTGGCTTTTGCTCGGAAGAGACTGGGAGCCCCGGGGGCTGTGGGCCCCAGTGACCGACTGCGGATGCGAGGTGTCCCCTGGCTGCGGGACTTCCCGTGCGCCACAGCAAGGGAAGGCAGAGGCAGGGAGACTCCAGGGCAGCGGTGCTGTCAAACCAGGGGCGGTGGGCGCGGCCAGGCTGCCGTGTGGCCCTGATGAGAAGCCGGCAGCTTCCAGGTCTGCTGTGCTGGTGGGACTGAGCTTGGTGGGTGTCTCTCTGATACGCTTGTCCCCTGTGGCCCTGCTGGACGCGAGCACGGCCACCACCTCGCCACGACGGGTCTCCTGATCTCGAAGGAGAGCGGGCCCTCGTGTCTGCCTCCTGGGCCACTGTGAGCGTGGCCCTGCCTGGACTGCTGGCCAAAGCGACAGGGCAGTGAGCGCGCCGCTGCTAGGAAGGCAGGGCGGGAGGAGCCTCTGGGCTGGGCTCCCCAGTGCACGGGGCGCGCCTGCACCCGGCTCCATCCCGAACCCTGGGAGTGGGGCCTCTCCAGCGGGAAGTGGAGGCACAGCCCCCCTTACCGAGGTTTCACCAGGGGCCCAGGACTTTCTCCAACTTACTTAAGTCCTCACAGCCCCTCAGAGCAAGGGGACTTGCCAGCTCCATTTTGCAGAGTCTCAGAAAAGGGAGGGGATTGACTCCCAGGTGTGCAGTAATCGGCAAAGCTCAGGCCTGAACCCAGCCACGGGCCAGGGTTAGTGACCAAAGGCCTGGGCGCGAGACCCACGGAACTCTGAGCTTGCATCCTGGCTCTGCCGCTGACTGGCTGTGCGACCCTGAACACGTCCCTTCTCTCTGTGCCTCAGTCTCCTTATCTGTAAAATGGGATGATAAATGCTCCTGTCCTTGGTGGGGTGAGGAGAAAGGGAGGTGATGGATGTGAGGCCTCAGACGTGACCCATACATCATGGGTGCTCCACAGGTAAGACCTCCCTCCCCTTACCCCAGGCCTGTGTCTCTGGCTCCTGCCTGGTGTCCCTGCCAGCATTTTGAAATAGACTCCTCATTGCCAGATGCTGTCATGGAAACCAAGAGACCGGGAAACAGGGGAGGCCACAGAGGGACGGGGTGAGGAGGGGCCGTGATTCCCTTGCTCACCTTCTGCCTACCTTACCCAGCTCGTTGTATCAAGGGCTGGCTCAGAGTGGGGGCGGGAAGACCGAGTGGCGGAGGGGACAAAGGCTGGCTGGGGCGAACCGGGGCTGTGTTGCCACAGGCGTGTGGTGGGGCACCACCTGTGCAGCTCAGGCAGGGTGGAGCCAGGATGTGACTCACTCTGGAAACCCCGGTCCATCTTTAAGAGGCAATATATTGTACTTCCCTTTGAGAAAACCTCCCCACCCCACCTCCATCAAGATAAAGCCGATGACCCTTCCAGGAGCTTCTGTGAGTCAATAGCAAAGTGAGTTGCTCACTGTCTTGCAGACAAGAACAGCTCCTTTTGGAGTTGGAACCTGGTCCCCCTCATCCAGGTGTCCGTCAATAACTAGGTCCCTTTTGACACTGCATCCCTAGAAAAGGATCCCGTGCCCCTTCTGCACCTCTAGCCCTCTGGGACCCCACCCCACACCTTTACTTTTCCTCCTCCCCCAGGGTGTGACCATGACCAGGCCTCCCCTCCGCCACTAGGAATGGACACTTCAAACTTTGCAGTCCCCAGAACTCAGCAGAAGGATACCTGGGACAGAGCCACACAGAGCTGAGTTGGAATCCCTGCTCTGCCACCACCACGAATGCACTGTGTCATGAGTTAACAACCCTCTGAGTCTCAGTTCTCTGATTTGTTCAAGGGGTTGTTAGTAGGACCAGCCTTCCCAGATTCAGTGGGTCAGCCCAGGCAGAGCACCTGCAAGCTATAGCATCATCCTTGTCATATCTCGCACCTTTTTTTTAAAACTCAGGAACAAAGAGAGACGTAGAAAAACAAAACAAAAAGATGCTTTCCTTATTGAATTAAATCATTTCTCTTTGCGATGGAAAGAACCTGCTAAATTCTTCTTCCCTTGGAGGAGATGTTGCCAGCTTTGGTGCACTTCGCCAAATGTTTATCGTGCATCTTCTGTGTGCTAGACCCCATGCAGGGCACTGGGAGGATAAACAGCGACAAGGCATGATTCATGCTTTTGAAGGCTGGTGGGGAAGGCAGGCCGAGGCATGGGCAGTCTCCATGTAAGAAGATAGGTGTCATGGTCTCGATGGACACAAGGGTTATGAGCCCACAGAAGGTGGGAGGGGGCACTTATCTCAGCCTGAGGAACCCGGAAGACTCCTTGGAGGAGGTGGTATGCCAGGAGAGTTTCAAAGATGAGGCAGACTTAATTCAGCTACATATGGTGAGGAGGGCTTTCCGAGCAGAGGGCACAGCTGTGCAGAGCATGGTGGACTGGAATAGCATGGTACGCACAGGAGCCATGAGGAGTCAGGCTAAAGCCAAACACAAAGTCAAGGTTAAGGGCAGGGTGGTGGGAGATGAACAACCCTGGAGAGGTAAGCAGTATCATATTGTTAGGGGACCTTTCAAAATTAGGGATTGCCTCCCTGCCTGTCTTAGCCTGACCTGGAATCTTTTCACCACGATGAGCGAGAGTTCCAGAGCACCAGGAGACGAGGAGCGGTTTTCACTGCCTGTTTGTTCTTACTCATCATGAGGTGGCTCCAGCTGCACCAACCTGACACAGGAGCTAGTTAGAAGTGCAGAATCCTGGTCTTCACCCTGACCTGCAGAATCAGCAGGTGCATTCTAACAAGCTTCCCAGGTAACATATGCACCTTGCAGTCTGGAATGCACTAGGCTAGCCCGTGCAGTGCCAAGAGGCATTCAGACACCGCCCACTCTGCTTCCAGCCCCCAACAAAGAGGAGCTTTTTGCTCTTCCAACAGTTCAGGACACCCGAATAGGCGTGTGTCATTGTTCTTAGCGGAGAACTCTGGGACTGTTCTAAAAAGATGCCTGAACTCCTTTTATTGCGCCCCTGGAGTCTTTGGTGACATCTATTCCTGTCTCTCTGCCTCGTCTGAAGTAGGATCAAGCAGGACATCTAAACACAACTTTCTTTCTGATGCCCTAAGGGGAAAGCTTTTCTCTGTTTCTTGTTAAAAACAGTCTCCAGAGAAAAGAGACTTGTGCAAGAGATTTGGTAAGTGCTGCTTGGCTCCTTCCACAAGGTGGTTTGCCTTCAAGGACAGGGCAGCCAGACCTTCTGTGTCACAGCCTCTATCTGTTCATTTGTGCGTTCTCTTGAGAAAAAGAAACAGATGACACAGTCTCCCCGTCTCCAAGGACCTTGAAAACCAGGCCAAGTGGTTTGGACACTGCTGGAGGCCCTAGACAGCCACCGCCGGGTTCTGAGCAGGGCAATGTCAGCTGTGTGCTGCCCGTCGAAAGCTCATTCTGCCGCAGTGAGGTGGTGGCAAGAAGGTCTAGGGACCTCGTGTGGAGTCTGGCGCAGGGGCCCAAGTGAGAGAGCATCGCACTCAGAGGACCCCTACTTTCTCCTACTAAGCAGGCAATGGCTTCAAGGATTCTGAGTTCATGACCTGCCTCATCTGCTAGCGACTCAAGCAGCTGCTAAGTTTGAAGCAGCAACTTAGAAACTGAGAATAGAATTTGGAATCCTCTACGGGTCATTTGTAGCTGACGAAGTCACCTGTTTAGCTCTGGACAGTTTGGGAGCTGCTGGCGGGAATCTCAGCCCCTCCTGGGCCCTTCTTCCAGTGCTCACACCAGCCCCTTGAGCTAACGCAGAAGGGCCTCCGAGGGACTCAGGACCCCAGGCCCAGCTGAGGAGGGGGAGAAAGAAAGAGAAGCAGGGACTTGGAAATCCTCTCATGGCTTTTGGCAGATCTCCTAGGAGGAACTAGAGCAGTGTTTCCCAAAGTTGCTCTGTGGAACCTTGCATGAGAAGGGCTTCCGTGGCTGAGCTTGGAAACGTGCTATGTCATGTATCCTTCTTAGAGGCTCAACATACCTAGTAAAGGGTGGAGACTTTGGGTCAGAGTAAAACTCGCTTTGAATCTCAGCGTCCCCGTTTACCGTGTGATCTTGAGCAATGAACTTTGCTTGGGATGGTCCATTCTGCCTTTCTGTATAATGAGAACAATGGCAGTAGTTATGACATAATGACATTCTGAGAATTAGTGAGATAATACATAGCACATGTCTGGCACATTAGGAAATATTAGTAAATAAAGGGTAGCTGTTAATAATTATTGTATTTTTAATATCATTAAATGATTATTTATAAACATTTATTTTAAATATAAATTTTTTATTTTACCTTTAAAGCATCTGAGAAGTCCTGAAAGTAAAATATCCTTGACTTTACTTAACCCAATGTTTGTGAAATTCATTTGATCTTGGAATCTCCTTTTCCACATAACAGAGAAATTTCCTGAGGAGTTTATGCAGTATGGGACTCACTTTAGGAAATACTGATTTTGTGTTTTTGAAACAATGTGTCTGAGCCAAGACTCTGTCCAAGCATGGAGGCTTCTTGGTGTAAAGAGTTTTGTTTCATCCTCAGTTCTTCCTCCATTTCCTCTTCTCTCAACACTGTTACCCAGGAAGAAAGTGGTGGGCTGATCATGGAAGAATTGTATCGCTAGGGATGGGGAGTGGGGCTTGAGGGTCTATCCTAGTCCTGAGAAAACTCCTACTCACCTTTCAATACCCCATTCCAATTTTAACTTTTCTCAGAAGCCTTCTCTCCTTGCCCAGGAAGAATGAGTTGGCTATTGCCACATGAGAAGGCCCACAGCCTCTGGTGGAAGCCTCACACTCAACATGTGCCTCTGAACCATAGTTATGTGTTACATGACTGTCTCTCCAACGAGACTGTGAAATTCTTCAGGGTAGGCATCATGTGTGTGTCATGTCATCTCAGTAATGCCAGACAGCACTTGATCAGGACCAGATTCATTCTGCACCTTCTAGGGATTCCTAGTGCCCAGCCAGGGGCAGAGGGAGAGCAGAGCTCTGGGTACTCTGCCGCGGAAGAGGCCGTCTCGGCTCCCGCAGCTCTGCTGGCCCCAGTGCCCTGGGAGGAGGAGTCGGGGCTCGCTCCCTCTGATTGTCGGATGTGTGGTTCTGGATTGCTCTGGGGTCCCTGAGCGCAGAGGCCCAGGAGGGAGGAGATGATGCCTGGTGGGGCTTCTCTTGGTGCGGACGTTTGGAGAAGGGAAACATGACTTCCGTGCTGAAGAGACGCAGAACCACAAAGGGACAATGACGGGAAAACCCAGCTCCCAGTGCCCACTCCAACGTTTGCCTGCGCTGGCAACTTGTTTAGAGGTGAAACTTAATCTGGGGAGAGAGCAATTGTCTCAGAGCTCTGAAGGCTGGAGTGGGCCTTGTGCACAGAGGCCAGAGCTGGAGCCGAGAAGGCTGGTCCCGCAGCCTGGGCTCCCCCCAGGGCACGCAGCGCCCGGCAGCAGCGGTGGGAAGAGAGAGGGAGAAGCTGTGAGCCAGCGTGGCGTCTGGGGAGCTGTTGGGCAATGGACTGCCCCACCACTCACGCCCAGGACAACATGCAGCGAAGAATGGGCCCTGATTCAGGCCTGGAGCCAACAGGGGACCGCTGGGGTGTCTTAGCTTCATGGCATCTGGATCAGGACCTCTCTCCCCATTGGTGTCTGAAAATAAAGGATGCTGAGCCAGACTGGAGGTAGGTGGTTGGGGACTGGGCTTATGACACTAAGGGGTGGTCAGGTCTCGGAGGCCCTGCTGGGGGGATTTGTCAGAGAAATAACAAGAGCAACAACAATAATAATAGCAGCTTCTCTTATTATTGAGCACTTCATTTGTGCATTTCTACACTTGGCCTCATTGATGCCTCACCACAGCCCTGTCAGGTAGGCGTTTTATCCCCATTCTGCAGATGAGGAAGTAAAGGCTCTTCAAGATTATACAAATTACCCCAGGTCATTTAGCAAGTAAGCAGTAGAGCTCAGTCTCGGATTTAGGTCTTTCTGGCTTCCAAACTCTGGCTCCTGACCATTAGGCTATACAGTCTGTCCTCCCCGGGGAAATGGGAGAGGTTCCCAGTCGTATAGACTGTGCCAGTCGGTTGGGATCTCTCAGACCCAGTCCCCCTTTTATAACAAATAGTTTGTAATGCCCTCTTTAACATCCTGGAATGCACTTACAGATTATGTAATCTACCTGCAAATGCCAAAAATAGTAACGATAATAAAACAATAACCATATGATAAAAGAGAAATAAAAGGAAAACCATTTGTAATAAAATATTAATAATAATACATATTTCACTACATAAGCACTTGGGCATGCCCACACGCAAAGGTCTTCTGAAGCAGCCACATGGATGTGGATGCCTGCAGCCACATCTAGAACTGGGTAAACCCAGAGCTGCAAATGCAGATGGTACAGGTGTGTTGAATTGCCTCAAATGCCGCCACGTGATTCAACTCACTGTGAAGCTCAGAAGAAAACAATGTATCATCTTCCCTCGATTTACATGATCAGTGCAATCTTGGAAAATTCAGAGTAGGTTAAAACTGTGCAATGAGTTTTTGTGTTTATATGTAAATACAAATGGAATATGGATTTAGGGATCCAGGGCTCAGATAACCATGAAAAGTTTTTCCACCTACATATAGTCTGGGGAACATTTGAAAGGTGGACAGGACAAAGGATAGTTCTTAATTGTGTGGAACTTCCCTAGCCACTAAATGCCAATTGTGCCCCCCACATCATTGTGATATCCCAGCCACTCTCCTGCTATTTGTAGGCACCCCAGAGAAGGTGGCATGCTCCACCCTGTTGAGAACCATTCTACTAGGCTAACAGGGTGGAGCCTGAGGTTTGAGAAGCACGTGGGCACCAGCAGTACAAGTCACTCCAACACACACTGACTACAGTTCCAGGCACCACCTCCTGGTGTCCCTGAAGCGCTAAGCCTAAAGCCAATCAGCGTTAGGAAAACAGGAGGAGAAATGAATGAATATTGAGTGTCTACTCTCACCTGGGTCCAAGGTCATGCCACTATAATAATAAGTGGTGAAACCAGAATTCAAACAGGACTGACTCCAAATGAGATGCTTTCTACTTTACTTTTTAAAAATTAAGGTTGTAGGTCGGGCATGGTGGCGCACGCCTGTAATCCTAGCTCTCTGGGAGGCCGAGGCAGGCGGATTGCTCGAGGCCTCTGGTTCCAGCTCCTCATCCCCTCCCCTGTGATTCACACATCAGTAATTTCTTCCTGGCACAGTTTGGGGATGCTTCTCTCTTGAAGAGCGTGAGGACATCACAGCTTTGGGGGGAAACTTGGTTTCATATCCCAGATCCCTTATTTCCCTGTTAGGTACCTGGAAGGGACAGTGTTGGTATTCCACCTGGATCCCTTGGGATACAGTTTATGGGCAACCCTCTCTTAGCCTGGCTGTGCGTTTTGCCTCCAGGGCATGCACCTGTGACCTTCCTATGGCGGGCTGCTCTCCGGCTATGAGCACTTTTGTCCACAAGTGCGGGGTCCAGAAGTGCCTGAGAATTGACGCCTTCCAGCCCCAGACCAATGACTGCTGGGTCCAGGAGTATGAAAGCCCACCTCCGCTGCCTTGGTTAGGCCAACTCTGGGTTGTGACTCACCCTTCAGAGTCCTCCTGCGGGAAGAGACAGGACCTTGCCTACACCCGGCCCCTTTCTGCTTTCTCTGCAGCAGGCTCCCTGAGAACGTCTCTTGCAAGGAATCTTTGTCTCTGTGTCTGCTCCTGGGGAACCTGAGCTAAGACAGCAACTTGTGCAAGTGACTTCACATCTCTGAGCCTCAGTTTTCTCATTCAAAACTTGGGGTTAGGGATGCATACTTCTTAGAGTTGTTGGCAGGATTAAGTAAAATAGTCTTCATAAAATATAAATACCTGGCGTATAGTAGGCCCACAATTCCTCTTAATCATCCCTCTTTATAGAAAGTCAGGCAGAAGGGCATTGGCCCGGGAACTGGGAATCCTAACTTCAGCTCTAACCTCACCGATTGTCCTTGAATAACTCTCTTTGCCTCACTAGGCCTCAGTCTCTTTATTTTATTCTTTAAATGGCTGTATTAGATGTAATTCACAGACCATACTGTTCGCCCATGTAAAGTGTACAGTCCAGCAGTTTTTAGTATGCTCACAGAGATGTGCAACTGCCACCACATCTAATCTTAGAACATTTTCACAGTCACCCTCCCTTCGCAGCCCGCGCCCCGGCCCCCAACACTGGTCACTCTCTGACTCTCTGCATTTGCCAGTCCTGGACAGTCCGTGTACGTGGAATCGGACAACACGTGGTGTGTGGTGACCGGCTCCCATCACTGCAGAGTGTCTTTAAGGTCCGTCCACACTGCGGTGTGCACCAGTCACTCTTCACCGCCGCGGCGCCCCGCCGTGGGGATGTGCCGTGTTGAGGTTGTCCATTCCTCGGTCATGGACATTTGGCTTGTTTCCACTCTGGGCTAGGATGAATAATGCCGCTATGAGCGCTTTTTTGTGTGGCTATGTGTTTCATTTCTCGCAGGCATATGCATATTTTTATGTAAAATCTAGGAGTGGAATATCTAGGTCAATTCAACAGGAATTGCCTGTTTTCCAAAGCGGCTACACTGTTTTACAATCCCACCAGCAGTGTATGAAGGCTCCAGTTTCTCCACGTCCTGGTTTTTTTTCTTTTAGTATTTCTTTACTTCAGTAAAGACAGGCTCTTGCTCTTGCTGAGGCTGGTCCTGAACTCCTGAGCTCAAGCGATGCTCTCGCCTTGGCCTCCAGAGTGCTAGGATTACAGGTGTGAGCCACCGCACCCAGCCCTCCACATCCTTGCTAACACTTGTTATCGTCTGTTTGATTTTAACCACCCTGGTGGGTGTGAAGTACTACCTCATTATGGCTTTGATTTGCGTTGATGGCTAATGATGTTGATGTCTTTAAATGGGCTTATTGACCATTAATATATCTTCTTTGGAGAAATATCTGTTCACATCCCTTGCTCATTTTTGAATTGGGTAATTTGTCTTCTTATTGTCGATGTGTAAGAATTCTTTTTATTTTCTGGATGTTTGTCCCTTATCAGATGTATGAGGCCTCTATTCTCTCATTTCTAACTGGCTGTGTTCCTAGATTAGGTACAGAGTAAGCACGGGGCCTGACATACACCAGGTAGCTGCTAGCTGTTACCATTAATAGAACATTCTTTTAATTCATAGAACTTCAGGGCCAGATAAGTCTCTGGACATCACCCAATCTGAGCTCTCCGCCCCCACACTCCATCTACCCATTTCATGGATGAAGCAACTCAGGCCAGCGAGGAAAAGCTACTTCCTGCAGTGGCCTTCAAGAGTGGTTTAAAGTGCATCCAGATGGAGCCCAGCTGTGTGCCTGTCCCCACCCCCCGCACCTCAGTGAGCCCATCTGTGGAAGGCAGGGAGAGAGGCGTGGGCGCTAGCCTGCAGGGAGCATCTCGGGAGCGGCAAGCACAGTCTGCGCTGAGTTACAGGTGTTCCTACCCGCCCATTTCACAGTGTGGAATGTGAAACTGATGCTCAGAGAGGTAAAGTCCCTTGCCCAAGGGCTCATGTCTAGGAAGTGACAGAATCAGAATCAAACCCAAGATTTTCCAACCCTAATGCCTGTCCTTTCTTGCTGCCTCACCTCCCTCCTGGGATGCTTCATCTCCTGGGACACCTCAGTAAAGCACTTTTCTCATTTTTTTCTTTTCTGATACTTACTGTTATTATATCAGGAACTTCCTCGCAACCACATAAGAAGGCAGAAGATGGGGGACAGCTCCCTCCCTCCCTGTGCCTCCTGCTCATTCATCCCCTCCTAGGCCGTGGGGCTGGCCTTCTGGTGCAACCCAGGTCCGCCCAGTCCCACCTCTTCAAAGCGGTGGCCTGGGAGGCTGGGAGCTTAACCATCTCCAAGGCCACGCCCAGCCTGGACAGTGCGACTTTGGGGGCAAAAGATCTCTTGGGCCTCTCCTTCTAGACGTCAGACAAATCTGCTTCCTCGCCGTGGCAGGGTGGAGTGGGGCTGTCTCTTTGGCAGGGGACTCAAATGCCAAAGTAGTCCTTCGTAGCCAGGGTGGCTTTGACCCTAGGGAACGTTTGGTAACGTCTGGAGGCAAGTTTAGTTGTCTCGACCTGCAGGGAGGGCGCTGCTGCTGGAAGGGGGAGGCCAGAAGTGCTGCTGAGCCTCCGGCCATGCACAGGGCAGCCTCCAAAACAAAGGAGGATTCTTCCCCAGAGCCTCAGCGCTCCAGAGGTTGAGAAACCCTGTTCTCAGCAAAGACAGCTACAGAATTGGTCCTGCTCTGCCCACGAGCCCGGCTGGGCAGCGGCACACGTGTGTGCGGGTGGGAATCACATGGCCGAGGAAGCCCTTCCGTACCTGGTGGCCAGGGCGTCCTTTCGCACTGCTGCTCCCTGGTGTGATCTAAGCTGGAGATTCCGAGTAAGCTTGGGATGAAGCCAGGCAAGGGGAAAGCTCGCTTTGCTGCTTTGGAGCACCCACCGTCCTGTTCCCAAGCTGGGTCCGTGCTGCTCAGAGAGGCAGGTGATACAGTGGTCTGCTCCATCTCCAGAGGTGGGGTCTCTCCTGGCAGTCCCCCCAGTGCCGGCACAGGGAATGAGCAGAGCTGGCGCTCAGGCAGGGTGGGGTGAATGAAAACAGC